GTGTGTGTGTGTGTGTTTGTGTGTGTGTGTGTGTGTGTGTGTGTGTGTGTGTGTGTGTGTGTGTGTGTGTGTGTGTGTGTGTGTGTATAGTTGTATTTAAAAATAAATAATTGGCTTCAAAAATAACGATAAACTCACATAGAGAAGTAAAGCTTTCTATTGCTAAGAAAAATGATTGACTCAGTTCGCTTTTTTTCCTTTTAAGTAAAGATTATCTTTAACAACAAGTTTCTTTTTTTCTTAATAGCTTTAAAATATGTTACGAGTTTTAAAAGAAAGTAAGAGAGAGAGAGAGAGAGAGAGAGAGAGAGAGAGAGAGAGAAAGAGAGGGAGAATGAAAAGAAAAAGAAATATTATGTACTCAATGTATGTTACTCAAAGAATTTCTTTCCTTCTGAAAAATATTATAATTTTATCAAAGAAGTAACTTTATATAATAAGAAAATTCAAACTTGCAAAAAAATATTTCGTCTTCGTGAAAACTAGTACTCTTTTTAAAATTATAATAAACTATTATAATCTTATAAATAGTATAAATTTTACAATAGTTTTTTTATATTTATTATCTGATTTTGACTCTAATATTGATCTATCTTCATTGTTTTAAATCCAAATTTATTTTAATTTAAGAGGATTCTAAAGACAATTAGTCATATTAAAAATAGCACTTACACGCAGAAGATTTACGTGTCATTGACACATCACTACATATCAATATCTCATTCATGCACATACATAAATTTTCGTATAACAATTACTTTTAATTGATGTTTAAATCCAATTTTAAGAACTTCATAATGTTTCTTCGTGCAAACTATTAATTTGTGGACTATAATTTCGTAAGTGCAGATTACACAATTTTTATATGAAGTAAATGTTGTCACAACGTGACAGCTCTGGAATACCATATTGGACTAAGAAATGGTAAAGAAGATTTCAATTTCGAAATTTTTCTCAGTATAGACTCTACCTCACAGTATTAATGTGTATACTTTAATCTTGGAAAAGAATTTTTAAATCAATAAGAGAGAAAAAAAGTAACCGTTATACAAAAATTACATGGTTTAAGTAATACAGACGACTTTAGGATCCTTTTAATTGTCTCTTTAATTGAAGTATTAAACTTAATAAGATTTAGAAATATCTTAAATTTTGATGCTTGTGCTAAATTTATACGATAGAATATCAATAAAGAATATCAATAAAGGGCAATGACTCAAACATGTTATAGTGTAATACAAATTCTGATTCATCTATTACAATATCATTTTAAGTCCCAAAGTTTTGATTTTCACAGAATCGTCCTTAATGGATACTTTTTTGAAAACTGAAATATTTGAGACTCTAAATATAAAATTGTAATAGATAAATCGAAATTGTTACACTAATGCGTTTGATTCATTGTTCTTCATCGACATCTATTTGAAATTTTTAAGTTTTTGGAGATTTTAGATAATATGATAGATTTACGGATATAAATTTTTGAAGTATTATATTTGAAACAAATAATTAATATTTGAGAATAACTATACAGAATGTATTTTTTTGTGTCTATAATTACGTTAAATTATGGTAATTGCATTCATTTTTTTCTCAGTGTATCTTTAGTGACTTTGTAAATATATGTTTCCTGACAGTTTGTAATGATTGCTAAGCGATAAATATAATTTTTTTATAAATAGTAAATAACAAAGAACAAATATTTATTATGATACAGTCAATCACGAATCCATTACCGCGGACGAGGCAGTACATCCCCGAAAGAGTCAGGTAGAAAAGAGGTAATTTACAGATGCGGCATCACAGGTGCAGGAGAGCGAACGTTTCGTTTCTCCGCTGTAGAAGATATTAATACAGTAGACTGACAAAGCGTGTGGGGTGCGCTACTGGCCGTCGTAAAGTCGTTTCCGCCTCCTCGCGCGCTACGCTGGTGGGCTCAAAAGACAACGGCGGGAAAAAAGGGTTTTTTTTATGACGGTACTGTGCCGGACACAAATTTGCAGAGGACTATGGCAGCGGCCGCTTTTGAAAAGCCATTCGGAAGAATGGACATCTAATGGCGACGATGTACGTGATTTTATGACTATTGTCGGCTGACGCGCGCAGTAGATTCGTGCTGCCGAAGAGTGGTGTCCACCGCGATTCACCGCGCACAATCAATGAAGTTTGATTCTATGGATACACCAAACGAACGACCGAGCCGAAGGCAAATGAAACTAAACGTGCGATACATACGCAATTTGGCACATGTATTTCTATTTTTCAGAGTAAATACAGAGATCATCGGAGTGCGTATCTCACTAAAATTTGAACTGTTGCACGAGTTATCAGCCGATTTTTATTCTCGAATAAGGGCGTTGTGACTCGTGCACCATTCGCGGTAGCGCGAGTTGAAAATCGAGCGTTTTGAAACCCGATAATTTACGTATTACCGAGATTTGTTTGCGCCAGTCTGGCATGGTTCGCCACGAGAGAGTGAGTGAGTGAATGAGTGAATAAGTGAATGAGTGAGTGAGTGAGAGAGAGAGAGAGAGAGAGAGAGAGAGAGAGAGAGAGAGAGAGAGGTCAAATGAAACTTCTCTGATTAACTAGGAACCACACCACGCCGCGTTGTTGGCTTACATTGCGGTGCTAATCATTCATTGGTAACCGAAAAATAACGCTCTAGTCTAAAAGCTATTTGCTCTAAGTATTATCCGGATAAAAGCATATAGCTGAGACTGCGGATTCACTTTAAAGCCGCGTTCGTACGCACACCAATGTGTTCATAGGACGCCAATTTTTTTTTCTTCTCGAGTGATAACGCTTGATAATTAGCATCATGCAAATGTTATGCGTGTATGCATATGCATATATCAATGTATGACTACACCTTGCGAAATTATGTTACGCCGGATTTTTATCGTAAGGACTTTAGAAAAGTAAGATGTTAAATTCTATAATCTTTGTATCAAATATATTAACCAATAATATTGCGTTACAAGGTTCCTTTTTCTCAACATCTGAATATTTTTTTACAAAGTAACAGTATAGATTCCCTTTCATTGTTTATGTTTGTATGCAATTTTAAATGACATATTCAAATAATAACATTTATTTGCAATATTTAATGTCAAAAAATTATAATGAATTACGAGTTTTTTGTTTCTTGAATGATAATTCTTCTATATTTTTAATGTGTTAAAAAAATAGATTACACGAGCGATAGTATATTAAATAGTAAATTAGATAGTAAATTAAATTACGAATTTGCGTTATTACATAAGAAATTCCAAAGTGGAGTTTCTAAAAATTGAAGAGTGATGAAATTTTTGATAAGCATATCCTTTTTCAATGTATAAAACTGTACAAGAAACACTTATAATTCGTTCAGAAACAAAGTTATTTAAGATTTGTTATTCAATACAATTAATACATCCGATATTTTAAAAAAAGGATTTCAGTTCAGTAACATAATTACCGTTGGAAAATTGGCACATTTTATATCAATTTCAATATCTTGCCTTTTACCTATCGTATGAATGACCTCCTATTTGTTGAAAGATTTTGATAAGCTCGTAAACAGAATTCGTAATCGAATTAATTAGAACCATTTTCAGGATTGATAATCTGTATTATCACATAACAAATACCAATACGAATAAATCTATTTAACATGCATTTTGTGAAAACAGCGTTCACTTACAGCATCTTTCTTTAAATATGGTTTTTTTGTTAAAAAACAAAAAAAGTGAAAAAGTAAAAAAAAATATTCCGTGGGACACAGCGATGAGATTTTTTTATTATTAGTTTTCTTATTACCAATATCCCGCAAATTCATTATTCCATACAATTTAAGCGCTAAAGTCTGATTTATCTAAAAAAGATTGCCAGATTATCATTCAAAGTTCTGATTTGCGCTTTAATCCTCCGTAAACATTCCGAGTTTGGACGATAAATAACGCTTTAACGAACATAGATCTTATTCTATGTTTAATAGTATTACACCGCAAAGTAATAACAATAATTACTGTCTCAGAATCTTTGAATCTTAATTCATTAGTATTAAAATTCATTCCAGGGAGATTATTGAAAAGTACATCATGTTGAAAAGTACTTCACAAAGGGCACATGCGTTTTGAATGAAATCTTGTTTTCACACTATAATATGAAATCTTGTGGAAGTTACAGTCGAGATGCGCTGAATAGCAATTTCCGTGAAAGAAGAAATTTCACACGCGATTTATCCCCTTGAGTATAATATCTTTGAGGATACAAGGTCCCCGGGTGAGGTGAAGCGTAACTCAACCAAGACAGGTTGCATCGAGATGTTATGGTAAATATACAGCGAAAGATCTCGCACCTAGGTGTGAGATCGGGCTTGAAGTTTGCCTGCGTAAACAGACGAGAGGACGGGGTTTATGTTTCTGTCTCAAATTCCTTACGTGCAGGCGCATAACCCCTTCGAACCTTAATGCACCGTAACGTTTAACGACTTCGTCAAAGAGACTTCCATGACACTGTTTGCACATCGTCTTTTAGAGGACCACGGTACCAAAAGTTTGGCAAGACGATTATCAGCACTCATATAAGCGGTCGGGTTGACGGGAACGTTAAGATTCTCCTGGGTGTGCCTATTCGCATTCGCACATGTGTCGCCAACTCAGCACCGATCCATGCTACTTGAATAAGCAACGATGAAAAATGTCGGAACATTGCAAAACGTTACGTTCGCTCTGTGATCGTAAAATGCTTTTCACGTCTAAATAATCTCTCTATTCTGAAATTTACTTTTGAAAGGGCCGTAAACGGCGAAAAACACAATAGAGATACAATGATCAAATTGATATTAAGAATGTCTCTTAAACAAGACATATTATACCTCCGCAAGAAAAGTAGACACAAGTAAAAAATATAAAATTGTTCTGAAAAGAGGAAAGAAAAAATGTTAAAACTAATTTTTATGATATTAGTACTTTAAAACTGATTATTTATGGCAGTTAAATTCATAATGTTAAGTTATATCTTGCAATTTAAATTATTTTTAATTTGTTTATTTTTATATGTCGTTACTATTTCTACTCAATATGTTGTTAATTTTATTAAAACATGATGTTTAATAATTTAAGAAAATATATTAAATTTAACTCACTTCAGTTTATTATTTACTAAGCATATACATTTATATAGATGTTATTAATTATAAAACTGAGCAATTCAGTTATAGAAATAGATTGATTTACATTTTTGACATGGAAGCAAGCATGGAAATTAATAACAGTAAAATGTTATTTAACTTAAAAGTTATCATTGATTTTTTTAATATCTTTAATAATATATTAATATAATAGTTAATCATAAGTTTACTAGAGCTAATCATAAATTTGTATTGTAAAAAGAATTGATACTGCAGTTTAGAATGGGAATCAATCGCATCTTTGCAAAAAAGTGATCACAAGTCGAAATTTTTCAGATTTTGTTTTATTGGAAAATAAAAATAATTTTTGAGATGTGTATAACATAACATTATAACAAAATGAATATTTCAAGTTTCAAAAGAAATATTAATTTTATAATGTTATATTATACATACCTCTAAAAACTATTTTTATTTTAATTTATATTATTTTTTTGATTTTTTTAAAATTCTTATCTATTTTGAATTCAACGTGTATCATTTTTCCTAATAAAAATTGATAAATTTAAAATCCAAGCATAAAACAAAATCTGAAAAATTTGTGATCACTTTTTTGTAAAAATACGATTGATTCCCATTTTAAACTGCAGAGTATCAATTCTTTTTACAATAATTATAATAGATGAAAGTATATTTTGGCAAATCATGTTTTCATCGGGTATTTACTATAATAAATTCCTGTACTTCTCACTAATGCTCGCGGTAACTTACTGATAGAATTGAGTCCGTAGTTGGTGTGGTAGACGGATTGCGATGGACTGTTGATCGGCAGTCCAGAGTTGCCGAGACTAAGGCTAGAACCTAAACTTCCCGTGCTTTGTTGACCGAGCTGCCCAAAACCACTCATCGTCATGCCGCTTTGCAATTGTCCAAGACCTATGGAGCAGAGGAGCGCAATTAAATAATCAGCACAAGGGACAATTAATGCATGGTTATGTGACGCGAGGGGCTCGCAAAGAAACGAAAAGAATCGGTTAGTTATCGGTGTCATTGTCAGTACAACCGTCGGTGAACAACCGTAGCACCGATAATACGCAGTAAGTAATTTCAGCTGTCTCAGCCAGTGGACGGGCAAAATTAAATTAGGAGGCAAGCATCGTCGAGACTTCGTCTATGAGAATTGGTGTTTCCTTCTCATGTTGCTTCTTCTCCTGTTAATGCGTGAACGAGATGCTAATCATATCGCGCTTTAACTGACATGACGAATCATGTGCAATTTGCATAGACGTGGATAATATGCTTCGATTAAATCGTGAACGAAACGTGCTTACATCTTTCAGCATTTCTTTGTTATACTTGCGTTCTAATCTTGGAGTTACTTCATCTTTTAAAATAATATTAATTTTGTAACATATGTATATATTTATATATATGTGTATATAAAATGAAAACATTTGTGAACCAAGTAAATTAAAAATCTAAAAGTTTAGATTAAATACGGTTAAAATGTATTATACATTAAATTACCACTAAAAAATAACTACGAATTTCAAATACGACATTAAACATTTTGAGAAATGTTTAAAGTCGACGGTTTCATTGAATTATACATTAAATTATGTAAAGTAACTACGAATTTCATTTACATCGTTAATATTTTGAAAAATATTTCATTGGTTTCATTGATCACTAACATAAAAGAATAAAATTTCTTGACGCTTGAACATAATTATTCATTTATACAACATTTAAATATTCACACTCTTTCAAAACTATTTGCTTTTTGCAAAAATGAAAGAGATGATTGCAAAAGTGTAATATCGACTTTACTTAATTTCTTTTTCTCTTCTCATTGTCAGTCTTCTATGAATTATCAAAATAGATATTGTGTAAGTATTTCGTAAGACAGCGGATCAATTTAAGATGTCTAATTAGAACGTTAATGAGAAATCAGAAAAATATGCAAGCAAACTAAAATATTACATTTTTTCTCCATACATTTGGTACTAATTTAATGCATTATTTATAATTTTCGATTTATAAAATAAAGCAAATAAAATGAAAAAAGAATAATACTATGAAAAATAAATGGTGTAAATATAAAAAGTATTTAACTAACATAGTTAGCAATCTACTGACATTACAATATATATATTATATACATTATGGAATATCATGGATACTTTATTAAGTGATGACATACGAAATTGATAGCTGCTATGGAAATAACTGTCGAAGAAAACAGTTTTTTAAAGCATTTCAGGAAATTCTGGTATAAATCATTTTTAAACATACACGGTGATAAATATCAAGTCCTTGTGAGTAATAATGCAGGCGATCGAAAGAGCGTTTCCTGTCCTGGCCAACGTAAGCAGATAGATAATTTCTTTCTTTTTTTTTATCTTGTGTTTCTTGATTACGGTTAGTGATAAAAGCTATTCATATCTGACCTGTCCCCATTCCCCATCTGTCCGCAGGAGTATGAAACATTCCGGTGCACAAGTCGGAGGTCATCGGTCCGAAGGGAGGCAAGCCGTGCGACGGTAGCAGCGATCCCGAGGACCGGAACACGTTGGTTGTCTTCTTACGCTTCTTCCACTTCGCTCGTCGGTTTTGAAACCATACCTATAGACATACACAGACAAGAACTTGTTATTAACAATCCATTGAAAAAAGTATAACAATTCTTAAAACTTTAAAATAACGTGGAAACGTTTCAATCTTTTTCAATTTGCGACGTAATAAATAACGAGTCAAATTTCTCGAGAACACATCATTCCATTCATATAATGTTAAAATTATATCCAATTTAAGTTATTTTTAACCGTTCTATAAGTCATTACTGCTCTTACTCAATATTAACTTAACTCAAAAATAATGGAATATTAAACAACCAATAATTTAAGATATGTATTAAATTTGACTCACACACAAATTTAGTTTATTATTTACTAAATGCATACGTTAATATAGATATTTTTTTCAATCAACTATAGAAATAGATTAATTTACATTTTGACTTGGAAATTAAAAATAACAAAACATTATTTCACTCAAGGGATTAGATTATCATTATGATCCCTTGATATATAACAAAATATATAACAATGTACCTAACAGAACATCATTAGGTGTATAAGCTTCAGCGCTTAGCATAGATCTTTCATCAAATATTGCTATACATGCAGGAATAAAAAGTAAAGTTCTAAAATTTTCATTTTTTATTTTATCGTTTTAAAAGTAATTTTATTGCAATCGTTTTAATTAAAATAGTAAATACAATATAATTTAGACAATTTTCACAATTTTTAAAACATTTATTATTTTAGCCTTACTCATTTTTTTTATTTATTTCTAAATTTTTTTACTTCTTTTTTTTTAATTTTTGCTGCAAACTTGGAGACTTTTTGTAATATATCAATGTGCCATGGCACATTAATTAAAAAATATCTTATTCTAAAAACAAATAACAAATTATTTTTTGAACACATTCGTTCATATAATAATATTTCTTATATTTTCATCAACGATACTCTTTATTTTTTTTTAAACTAATTACAAAATTTAATAAGTCTCATTGAGTATATAAGAAAGTTATTGAGTTAACTATTATTCTTTCTACACAATATTTTTGTTTCTGACGTGATCGAAAATCGCATATCCGACCATTTCTTTGCCCGCCCTCTCCCCCGCGATAAAATTTTTTTTTCTCAGCAGGACGCAACCAAATCCAACCATTGCGACGGTAAGATGTCCCTCGGTGTTACGACAATATCTTCGACCCCACCGCGGGTAGCTATTAGCCGACGTTATGAGCTGTTGATTCTGGCCACGTAGTGGCCCCCTAAGCTGCCGGGGTCCCGGGGACTTGATTTATTGATATCGCATGCAAAGCCCGCCTCTGTGTTCTCCGATATACCTACCCTCGCCCTATCTCGCCACCACCACCATTGCGTCAGTATCAACGTACCACGGTACCACCACCACTACTACTATTGCACCAATCTCTCTCTCACTCTCTCCCGCTTCTATCCTTCACCGCAGACTATAGTCCCTTTTCTGGCTCGGTAGCTCGCACTATAGCCATCTCATATGTGCCTATAAATTAGTACTTTAGCATTAGAGCGCGAGATGCGCGCTTGCGCCACCATACGCACCCGTACATACTATACCACACACACACACACACACACACACACACACACAAACAGCGAGACACACACACACACATACACAGAGAGAGAAGAGTAACACAGCAAAGACCGAGAGGGGTGGTGGTACGAGGGGTAGGTACACCCTGCGCTAACATACGAGGATTATACGAATCTAATTGGATATATGGGATTTACACGCTCCAGTATATATATCTCAGGTATTGCAACGAAGCGATCGTTGCATTCTTATACTCAAAGATCCGTTAATATCTAGCGCAAGATTTCGGATCGATTCAAGACAAGATGTTAATATCTTTAATCATGTGCTGTCGCTTGAAGACATTATCATTTCAATTTATTAAATTTTTTGTATATATTCTGTAGTTTCATAGCTGTTGATGTCTTCATCAGTGAAGCGATTGCTATTATTTTAAAAATTTTTGTCGGATTACGATAATGCACGTATAACAACTTCTGTAGTATTGTAATAAACGACTATGTAAAATTTAGTGATTACTGATAATCTTAAATAATTCGATGTAAAGTCTATTTATCTTTATTTCTAATCCTTTCTTATATACTGACTTATCTCTCTTAATTTTTAATTGAATACGAACAATGATGTCATTTTTGGTTAAATTAACGTTTATCGTTCCGTGGTATTTGTCGAAGGCTCGTAACAGCTGGCGGGTCTCTTGACTCTCAAGGATGGACGCTCGTGACGAGAGAATGGCATTAGAGCTGGGTGGTGTTAAGTGCATTGGGACCGAATCAGCGTCTATATATCAGTCAATGGCGTAGAATCGAATGCTCTCCTCCATCTCCATAAAATTCACTACATCCTTATAAAGGCGGATATGTCTATGATTTCGCATATGTGAATGCACATTTCTCTTTGCTGATATCACATTTGTAACTTCAGATGCAAATATGCGATGATCAAAAAAATTTGTAAAATTTTTAAACATTTAGATATTTATGCATAATTATAAAATTCAATATAATTTAACGTATTTATCTAATATACGTATTTATATATTATTCAAATTATCATTTTACAAAATTTTACTGACACAAATATTTAACAAATAAATATTAGACTAATTCAAAGCTTAATTAAAATTCAAAACTTACATTTACTAATTGCCATAGTATATTAGCAGTACAGTTTTCAATTCTTTATACATTTTTAAATATTTCTTCATTTTACAATAAAAAATGTTTTAATATATTTTTTAAATTTATTTTGATTTATTTACTATTAAATCTTTTTAT